AAAAAGCCACAAAAACACAATATAAATAGCAAAAACAGACACTCCTCAGCAAAACACTCAAAACGGAAGTGTGGTGCTCAAATCGGAAGCGTAACACTCAAAACGGAGCACATTTGGCTTCCAAAAAAAAGTTTGCAAACCGGAACACTTACTTCTGGGTTTGCAGTGTGTTGGGTTCCAAGTTGTTTGAGTACCAAGGTATTTGAGAACCAAGGTACCACTGGACAAGTATTCCTATACCCATGTGGGCACAGAAAATACGGTACGTGAGGAAGGGAGCCATAGCTCAGTGGCAGAGCAAAAAGTCCCAGGTTCAATCCCCAGCAACCCCAAGTAGGGCTGAGAGCATCCCCTGCCTGGAGGGTCGCTGCCAGTCAGTGTATTGTGTATTGTATTGTGAGCTAGATGGACCTATGGTCTGACTTGGTATAAGGCAGCTTGCTAAATCTTCCTGTATTTCTACACTTAAAAAAAATCCAGGAAGTACACAAGAGCAAATGTTACCAGCCTTGGTTATAATGTTTCACAATGGGCAAAATGGAGGCTTGAGCTTCTCTTTTTTGGGGTGGGAGGGTGGGGAAAATATCCATTTGTTTTTGTTGTTCTAATACTTTGGCCTTGTACAAGAGTAATGTTTGCCTGATTAAGACTTGCACAACAAATATGTCTTGCACAAGACCGCTGCATAATTCTTTTTGGTTAAAAAAAAATACAGTTGCTCCGCCCAGTTGTGCCTCTGCCCATGATTGGCAGGTGGCCCCAGAAGGTTGCCCAGAAAGGTATATAGCCCTTGACCTGAAATAGGCCCACCACCCTCATGTGTTAGTGGAGCATACCTTCTTAAGGGGTGGTGGACTCTATTTCACGAAAGGCTTTTAATCAGAGGCTTGGTGGTCACTATCAAGGATGTTGCAGCAGCAGATCCAGGGGGCTGTGCTAGATGACTTTTGATATGCCTTCCTATTCTCTGATTCTATGCATTTGCTGATTAAAGGAGGAAGAAGGAGCCACCAATTTCAGGATCCCACTTTTTGTTCCCCTTTCGTTTGTTCTGCTCCCACCCAGATTCAGGATGCAAGCCACAGCTGTAACAGGAAATAACAAGCTTTTGACATTCCTCAGATTCCCTGGCACAGCAACTGGGTCTTGCATCCTGAACATGACTAATAAAAACATCGCTCAGCTGTCTGCCTTGATGGCTTATTTCCCATTGTTTCATCTGAATCAACTCGGCTTCCCTCGCTTTGTTGTGACTCCTCTGTTGTTTCCTGTATGGCCTGCAGGTTCAAAACACCCCTTATTTCAGTTTGCTGCTAAACCCATATTAAGGCAAGGCCTTTCACTGTGTAAGTACCGATTCTGCAGACACTTAAATATTTACACTGAGGGGAGTTGTTTGCACGCCACCTATCCCTAGCTAGCTGCCACCTACATTATGTAGCAACCATGTAATCATTACGTCTCTAATATATTGTACTGCTTACCTTGAATGGGCCTTATGTTTCCTTTCTTGAGGGTACAGGAGAGTTCCTGTGCAGAAAGAAACACACCTTTCAAAACCTGTACAGTGGTACCTCGGGTTAAGTACTTAATTCGTTCCGGAGGTCCGTACTTAACCTGAAACTGTTCTTAACCTGAAGCACCACTTTAGCGAATGGGGCCTCCTGCTGCCGCCGCACCGCCAAAGCACGATTTCTGTTCTCATCCTGAAGCAAAGTTCTTAACCTGAAGCACTATTTCTGGGTTAGCGGAGTCTGTAACCTGAAGCGTATGTAACCTGAAGCGTATGTAACCCGAGGTACCACTGTATTTCATAAAACACAGGCAATACGTTTTCCCTTGGCTTCTAAGAAGGGAGTTCCCGTGGAGTTGCCTTACTTCAAGTCTCAGAATATTTTATCCATCTGTTCTAAATCTAAATCCAGCACTACTCCAGGGGACTCTCATGAGATAGAGCAATTTGTTTGTACTAGATCCGGCCCAAGATCCGGCCACTGACAGAGCATGGTACAAAAGGTGTGCACTTAGAATGAAAGAGTTCTGCACTCAGGAGTTTGACTGGCAGAAATCAAACGAGTTCCAACTCAAATGAGTTCCGCACAAAAAATCACCTAGTTGCTTACTTCATTTCAACAGTATCATTATTTGGGGAGAGTGTGTCAATTTGTTATTAAAACTGGACAGAATTCCTTGTCAACGGTTCTTCAAACCATTCTCTCTTCTGCCCATTCCTGGTCTACTTTGACTGGAAGGTTCTCTGGTAGAGCCCTTTCCCATCAATAGTTACCAAACCCTACAGATGCCAGAAATGGAACTCAAGACTTATTGCACACAAAGACAAAATAGGGAAAGGCCTTCTTTATCACTGAGCTATGACCCCTCCAGAATGCAGACACAATCCCTGCACATAGAAAATTAGCATGCCAAGGGGCAAGCCTGAGATGCTAGCTTCTTATGTGGAGAGATGAGTTGTTGCTTTGACATAAAGTATTTGAGCACCTGAACCTCCATATACAGTCTGAAGTGGTACATTCATCAGCCCCAGTCAGCATTGTCAATGGGAAGCGATTATAAGCTTATTGCAGTTGAGCAAAATCTGGAGGGCTGCAGGTTCCCCATCCCTGGATAGGCACAGGCTTACCACCTGAGAGAGAACAAGGTCTTAAGTAATGCCTGCTTCACCTTGCATTTTGTGAAGTGTTACTGTAGCCTTTCCCAGCCTGGTGCCCTTCAGATGTCTTGGCCCACAGTTCCCATCATCTCCAGTTAACATGGCTGTGATGGCTGGGGCTGATGGAAGCTGTGGTTCAAAACACCTGGAAGGCACCAGGTTGGGTTGCCTGGCAAGGTACAGAGGGGAAACAATCCTGCAGATCTGATAAATATTTTTGCAGTTTGTAATCAATTATGAGGAAAGATGTTGTGTTTTGTATCGGGAAGGTATACAGTGGTACCTCGGGTTACAGACGTTTCAGGTTACAGATGCTTTAGGTTACACACTCCGCTAACCCAGAAATAGTACCTCGGGTTAAGAACTTTGCTTCAGGATGAGAACAGAAATCGTGCTCCGGCAGCACAGCAGCAGCGGGAGGCCCCATTAGCTAAAGTGGTGCTTCAGGTTAAGAACAGTTTCAGGTTAAGAACGGACCTCCGGAACGAATTAAGTTCTTAACCCGAGGTACCACTGTATTCGGAAAACACAAGCAGCTGTGCTCCAGATGTGGCCTGGGAGTAGATCCCATTTGTTGGGATGTGGAACAGCTGTAATCCAAATGTGTATCTCTGATGGCTAGAATGGGATCACATGGGTCTTGTGCCTTCCTCCGGGTTGCTCTTTTCAAGGAGTCCCTCAAGCAGCCTTGAAAATAATTTCAATCACTCCCTGTTTTAAGGCTGCCTCCCAACTCTCTTTCAGATGCAACAAGAGTGAATTGAAATTCTGTCAGCAGGAAAATTTGCCTTTGTGGACATTGTTACTTCATGGCTTCTGGCCAAGAGTCACGTTCAATAAAGCATCTTCTGAAGCTTGGGCAGGGATTGATCTATGAAATAAATCCCTATGGATTAATTAATGCAAGAAGGCTTCCTTGATCTTTCCCCAGACAATTATGCCAGACTTCGTCAAGGGACCCGACACAGATTGACCACTGGCAAGGCGCCAGCTTTGCAGTTGTCACTGCATTCCCATACGTTACTTAAAAAGGTAAAGGGACCCCTGACCATTAGGTCCAGTTGTGGCCTATTCTGGGGTTGTGGCGCTAATCTCGCTTTATTGGCTGAGGGAGCCGGCGTACAGCTTCCGGGCCATGTGGCCAGCATAACTAAGCCGCTTCTGGTGAACCAGAGCAGCACACGGAAACACGTTTACCTTCCTGCCAGAGCAGTACCTATTTATCTACTTGCACTTTGACGTGCTTTCGAACTGCTAGGTTGGCAGGAGCAGGGACTGAGCAACGGGAGCTCACCCCATCGCGGATTTCAAACCGCCAACCTTCTGATCGGCAAGTCCTAGGCTCTGTGGTTTAACCCACAGCACCACCCACGTCCCTTCATACGTTACTTACAAAGCAGTAAAAAATAGATTAACTGTACTCTATGGGATTACTGCCTCTGAACATGGAGGTTCAATCTACCCATGATCCACCATGACTAACGGGCATTGGTGTGCCTCTCTTCCTCAGTGAGTTGGTCTTAGTTCCCTTCTAAGAACTGAAGCATAGCGACAGGGCATAGGCTTTTTATGCAGAAGGTCAGAAGTTCAATTTCTGGCACCTCCAGGTGGGGCTGACAATATCCCACTTGAAGTTCTCTGGAGAGCTGCTGCTGGTTAGTATAGATAATAGTGAGTTGGATGGACCAGTGGTCAGACTCTGTGGAAGGCTGCTTCCTATGTTTTTGGAAGCCATCTAAGGTTGTAGTCCTCAACATACCAGAAAGTTAAGTTCCATTGAACACAGTGGGAGTAAGCATTCTAGACAGGTTTACTCAGAAGTAAGCCCCAATAAGGAGGCTTACTCCCAGCTAAGGGTGTACAAGATTACTCTCGGTTTACAGCTGGTTTTACTTTATTGAAATGTTGTTACTTCTGGACAGGGATATAAGCCTGGATCTCTCCTGTGTCCTCACCCAAACAAACCTCAAAGCAAGTCCTCCTCTCACACTGCAGAAAAACAGAGAAATACAGAAGTACTTAAATTAGCTTCCCTGGGGGACATCTGCGGCCCTCCAGATGTTCGGCGGACTCCAACTCCTATGGGCCCCAGCCACCATGGCCAATGGTGAAGGATCATGGGAGTTGTAGTCCAAGAGCATATGGCGGGCTGCGGCTTGTTCACCCCACCTCCCTGCTAACTGCCAGAGTTTTGGACTACAATTCCTATCAGCCCCAGCCAGCATAGCCAATGGCCGAAGATGGTGGGAGTTGTAGTTCAACAGCATTCTGAGGACTACAGGTTCCCCCGCTCCTACAGAAAAAAAAAGCAGCGCCACCTTTCTAGTGCTGCTTCGCCGGGCTCAGGTCTGACCCCAGGGGTCTCTGCAAGCAATGGAGGCAGGAAAAGCTACGCGGCGCCTTTAAGAGCTCGTCCGCGCCAGCGCGGGAAAGGAAGCAAGCTAAGGGGCGGGACTTAGGCCAAGCCCGCGAAAGTCGGATACTTTGTTGCCGCCGGATGGAACGCTGAGTAGCAAGCCGGGCTCGGAACGTTCCATCGGGAGAAGAAGCGGCCACGTGGACGCCATGGCGCAGCTCCGGGTCACCGATTTCTTCGCGCAGAACAAGAAGGGCCCCGCGGCGGGCAGCTTGAGCGCCAAGCGCCGGAAGGTACAAGCTGATGGAGCCCCCGAACCCCTGGAGGCCGGCAGGCCCGAGAAGAAGGAGCAGCAGCAGGAGGAAGAGACGGGGCTGGGCCTCTTGGAGCCTCCTCGCACCCCGCTCGGCTCCAGCTGCCCGCAGCCCTCGCAGCCCAGCAGCAGCAGGAAAAGGCGCAGGCCGGAGCCCGAGGCGGAGCTCACGCCGGTCTCTGCCCAAGGCCGCCGCCGCCTCGGTGCGAAGGGCACCGCCCGGAAGACGCTGGTGATGCCCGCGGAGGAAAAAGGGGATGCGGTGAGTGATCCGAAAGGAGGGGAAGCAGGACCGCGCGCTCTGACTTCGAGCGTCTTTAATCCGGATTAGTTGCCCGGAGCCTTGTTGTGTAGTGGGAAAGGGTGGAAGTCGGGGTTGTGTGAATGGGCCCGTCCCTTCGGATTTTCTTGATCCTTCCCGGGTGTGAGCTCTGAGGCGACATAGCAGCAGGCACCTTTCTAGGGAAGAGACCTGTGGGGTCAGACCTGAGCCCGGCAGATGGCCAAGCCATTCCCACGTTGGTTGTCTGCAGTGTCTTGGATGGTTGAGGTAGACTGTTCCTGTATATGGCGGTGCTATTAAGTTGTCGTAGTGTAGAGGCCTTGTTATTCACTGTGCCCAAAAATGGGGAAAAGAATACTTTTGAAATGGGCATTAAAATGGTTAATGGGGCTCAGAGCAAAATATGTATAATCCCCCTGACTTTGCAGCACATGCATTAATAGGGTTTGAATTGGTGGGAACTGACCAAGGAGGGAATATGGGTTTGTAGTGAGAACCCAATGTGGTTAGAAAACTTGGAATACTGTGTTCAGTTGTAATTTGAATCCATTGGTTTGGTTCCCACACTCTGGAGCAGCAGAAAACAAGCCAGCCCTTCAGATATTTGAAGCTGGCCATCATGTCAACTCTCAGCCTTCTCTTCTCCAGGCTACATACTCAACGCCCTTAAGCAATTGGTATTCTGAAGGGAGATGTGTTGCCAATTCTGACTGGAGTGCTTCTGTTTCAGGTCCCAGGCTTTGCTTCCCCCACAGCCCTTGGGCTACCCAGCCCCTCCAGTCTGGATAAAAAGGCAAAGGATTTGGCCAATGTGACTCTTTCACCTGGTCTGCAGCTGGAGACCACAGTGCAGCCTGGCATAGTGTCAGTAGAGAAGGTGAGCCTTGGAGAAGAAGGGGGTGGGGTGGCCTTTGGATTGTATAGGCCACCATCTCTAAACATCTGACATAGCATTCTGCTGCCTCCTGAAGCTTGCACAGCTCAGTAAACCTGATAGAGCTGCCACAGCACCCTTTGTCATTAGCTTACACATTGACTGGGTTCAGTGGCTCCAGATTCTAATGGCCCAGCACTCTTTCCTGTGTTCAAAACTCTCATTGTTCTAGGTGCATTTTGCAACAGGGAATTTCATTAGTGCAAGCAGTTTCTAGTTCTGGGCGCAGTACTGCGTCTAAGATTTCAGATTAAAACTTCAGAGTGGAAGGAAAGGAGGAGCTTTTTCTGCCTCCCCACTTCCAGCTACTCTCTGAAGACTGGAGAAGAGACCCTCTTAAGAATATTAGAGGGGTGGGCAGGGGAAGGACTAGACCCTGTGAAAAATGAACATAATATTTTAGCTGCACTTCATTTTCAGCTTTGTATTCTTGTTTTAAAAAATGGGTGGCTAGACATTCTGTTGTAGCACCTATAACCTCTGTTTAAGGTGCTATTTAGCTCCTAGCTTTCATATCTCAGTTTCTAACACTGACTACTTCAGAGCTGCGAGATTAAGGAAAGATGAAGCACTGCTGCTAAGTTTGCTTAAGAATTGCAACCGTAGTGATTGAGGGCTGGCAGTCTGATGGAGTCTGTGATGCTCACAGGCCATTCAGTTGCTTACCTCGCCACTGTTTGCCGCTTGCCACTGGCAAGTACCAAACTGTAGAGATTACTTAAAAGGACTGTCTGCTGGATATTTAGATTTCAAAAGGGAGGGTCGCCTGTACAAATGAACATAAGAAGCTGCCTTATAGCAGCTCAGACTATTAGCCTATTCAGGCCACTGCTGTCTACTCGGAATGGCAGTCCCTCTCCAGGGTCTCTGGCAGAGAGAGGTCGTTCTTTCCCTTTCCTTCCCTATGTGAATAAGGCAGGAATCTCCCTAGCTGAGATTTCTCTCCTTCCAAACAGGAGGTGGTGTCTAAGGAGAAGTTGGCGGAGCTGAGCGGTCGTCTGGCGAAGATCCGTGCCCTGGCACAGAAAGTCACTTTGCCAGCCAGCTCCTCAGAGGCTGACGGTGACATAAAGAGCAGATTAAAACGGGCTCAGCTGCTGGAATCCAAAATCAGCAAGAGGAAAGAGGCTGAGAAGGAGAAAGTGAGGAACCTCCCTCAACTCCAGCTGGGCAAAAGCAATCCTGAGCCAACAGCAGAGACCAGGTAGGGGAAGAGCTTCCTGAGGGGTTGGCCTTGGTGATGAAGCCAGGTGTCTGGTGAGAGGGGACATGGTGATTTTCTAGATTAGGGGTCTTAGGGTATTGAACCTTTTTTTTTTGGAAATTCCCAGGGCGACAGCTTGCATTTGATGCCTTTTTACTTTTAGCATATCAGTACTCATCAATCTTTCTTCTTTGTGTGTAATATTGTGCTGCTGCATTTAAAATTCTGCAGGGATTAATTTTAGCAAATTTATAAATTTGTTTTCTGTGCCTGGTGTTCTGTAGTACAACAGTTACACTAATAGTTTGATTGCTGTCGTTTTCTGTTTTGTTTTGTATGTTATATATTTGTACAAAATTCCTTTCTGGTTACTGGCCATTGGCCATAATAGAGTAATTGATTGTTTGATTGAGTTTAGGGGTGGTTAGCTTGTGCCCACCCCAATTGTTATGTGACTGCCATTTCCCCTAGACATTATTGGCCTCGCTGGCTGGGATTGGTGGGAGTCTAGCAACATCTGGGCAGCGACAAGTGAGCCATCCCTGTTCGAGGCCATCAAACAGCCCAGTCCTAAGCAGAGCTGGGCATTTCCTACAATTTGAGTCTGCAGGATGGTTGGATGTCCCAGTCAATAATTAGGATTGCAACGCCCAGCCAATAAATTAAAAATATTTTTGATCCGCTAGAAAGGTGCCCCTCAGTAACTTGTACAGCAGATCTGAAAATGGCTTTGCTGCTCTTAAATGCTTGCAACTATCATCCAAAACCTCCGCCGATGACTACCTGTGTGAGAGCTAAGGTGACACTGTGCTGTCGTGTGACGGAAACACCCGATCATTTTTATTCTCCCCATCTTCCCAGTGCGAAGGCACCAGCCTTCCAGCGCTTCCACAACCTCGCCCAGGACGTCCCCCCGGGACTCACGCTGCCTTACAAGTACAAGGTGCTGGCCGAGATGTTCCGCAGCATGGACACCATTGTGGGGATGCTTTTCAACCGCTCGGAGACAGTGACCTTTGCCAAGGTCAAGCAAGGCATCCAGGACATGATGCGCAGGTGAGAGCTCACCCTTTCTCCTGGGGGTGGGCAGGGAGCGCGGGAGGCAATCGCCTGTGAGCAGTCAGTCTGGAGAAGCAGAGAGAGTGACTATCTCTCCACCTGGCAAGCTCATAATTCTGCCCAGGATGCCAATTGGGAATAACAGAGTGAAGATGAGAGCAGCCTTTGTAACACAGCGGTAGACCAGAATTCCCTTCTGGGCTGGTGGTTTCCCCCCCCCTGATGTTAATTACTTGGCATGTAATAAAATTGATGGCCTTCCCTGAGCAGAAAGCAATAGTACTTCGTGCAATGAATGGCGAACCAAAGAAGTTCAGCGCACAGGGAGTTGTCATCAGCTCCAGACACCTCTGGTTGGCCCCCAGTACTCTTCTAATGCCGCACACCCTCCCCAAACCTGCTCTGTGCCCAGAGTGCTTTAAGGACCCATTAAACCGGGGGCCAGCAAGCTTTTTCAGCCGTGGGCCAGTCCACTGCCCCAAATTCCTATGCCCCACAAATAACCCAGAGATGCATTTTAAATAAAAGCACACATTCTACTCATGTAAAAACACGCTGATTCCTGGACCATCCGTGGGCCGGATTTAGAAGGCAATTGGGCTGCATCCAGCCCATGGACCTTAGGTTGCCTACCCCTGCATTAAACTGTGGTCATGCTGCTCAGTTGCTTGAATGGATGAGAGAGGCTGTAGACGCCTCTGGCTTTTGGTGCGGAGGTTGGACTGCCCCCTACTGCTCAAAGTTAAGAGTTGCAGCTGTTGCCCTGCTCACTTTTGCCTCGACCCTTGTCTACATGCGCCCCCCCTGCAAAGGTTTCCCATTCCCTTGACTAGATAAAATCATGGAAGCTGGGTAACTGGTCTTGGGATCTCTTGGCAGTGATAAATGGTGTTGAAACCTCCCCAGCTAGAGTCAGAATACCTCTTTCTTCTGCTTGAAGACTTCTGTCCGTAGAGACAAAAGTGCTGGGCTAGGTGGATACTCTTGACCACTTTCCCTTCAAGCTTTTAGTCCTCATGGTGTTGGTACTAACACACAAGACCCTATGCAGCTCCGGGTCAGGTTACTTGAGAGAGAGACTGCCTTCTCTCTTATACACCCAGCAAATTGCTTGGTTTGCGGGTAAGTTTCTTGGGCAAGTCCCCAAAATCTCAGAGGTTTGTCCCATAGCAGCTTGGAGCGGGGCTTTTAGTGTGGCTGCCCCTGTTCCGTGGAATAGCATTCCTGTTGAGATTCAGCAGGCGCCCTCTGTCTGCACTTTCTGAGAACAACTGAAGACATGTTAGTTGTGATTCCTGCATTGCAGGGGGTTGGACTAGATGACCCTTGGGCTCTCTTCCAGCTCTTAGCGTTATTTGTTCCATCAGCCTTTCCCAGCTGGACCAATGGGTATTTGCCATCACTGTCTATTTTGGATGGTTTTCATCTTGTTTTAAATTTATCTGCTGTTTTTGTGTGTCTCTAAATGTTTTTTGTTTGCTTGCTGGTTTTAACAGTACGTCACCTTGAGATGATTGCATAGAAGGTGGTTAATAACTTAACAACAATATCACGGGTGCAAACCTACTTCGCGTGCCAGGCTGTATCTGTCTGCCAGACCCAAGAACCTCAAGACTCTCCTGGTCCTCATTTTGAGGGTGCCACCATATTAATGGGATGTTCACTCCCGAAGGGGTTGATTACATTCTATTTATCTGGTCATTTATAAACTTCTGATTGTGTGCAAGATCTTGGGCGCTGATATTCTCCCTGCCTGTCTGCAGGCAATTTGAAGAACGGAACCTGGGTCAGATCAAAGCTGTGTATCCGGCTTCGTACATCATGCGCCAGGAGAAGAACATTCCCACCTTTGGCACCCCTGGTCAGAAGAGAGGCGACTACCAGCTGACGATTGAACCCATGCTAGAGGCAGGTGGGTCCCGTGTGGCATTCGCAAAAGAAGCTCCTATGAGCTAGGGAGGAAAGTGGGCAGGTAGACTTCATTGTACGTTTCCTGCCACACCCTTTGAAATGTACTAAAGACCAAACTTGAAGACGTTGGTTGCCAAAGAACCACCCCAGTGTGTGTCATTGTAGGACCATTGTAGCATTGTAGCAACCTTGGTCCCGGGGACCAGGTGTGGCTCTCCAGGCCCCTGTTTCTGGCCCTTGGGAGTCTTTTTGGGCTGCACCCTGTTTGTTCCTGACAGTGGCGCCTCTCGCTTGCCTTGGGAGGAGGATGGAGAGAGGAGCGTGTAAACACCAGCCTATGCCACATTTTACATTAGTTGCTCCGCCCACTTTTGCCTCTGGCCCCGCCCACCACTGGCATGTGCCCCCCCCCAACTCAAAGGTTTCCCATCACTGAACTGGCGGGTAGAAGGGAACAGCAGTTTCAGAGGGAGATGTGGCCCATCACCCTTCAATTTTTTTGTTTCAGGAGAGAAGCTGTCGGCATTGCACCTGATGCAGCGTCGGAAAATATTTGGCAGGAACTTGGTTAACATCGTGAAAGGGCACCACAAGGTGAGTCTCTTCTCCCCCCACCCCCCAAAAAAGTGCTGGATTTACCCAGTAAGCAGACTAAGCACATACACCAGCAACGTATGAGAAGCTCTGGGAAGAATTTGACAGTTCAAAAAAAAAGGACCAAAGAATTGGAACTTTCAGGCATCTTACACTCCACAGTCTTCCCCTGTTTTCCTGTTCTCTTCTTATTACTTATCCCCACCTAAACTGGGGGGAATGACAACTAATGTCTACTAACGTAGACCAAAAGAATGTGAAGAAAGCAGATCCTATCATGGGTTGCACACGACATTTCTGCAAACGTGCAAGCTCTTGAAAAATACAATTTTATTTTACGGTTTAGTATCGTCCCTGTTTTGAATTGCATATGGGGGCACCATCATCTTGTCAGTGCCTAGGACCTCTGAAGGTCTTCTTCATCTGGCCCTTCCCCCTCCCAGCTGTCGTCTCCTCCCTCCACTCGTTCCTGCCTTTGTCACGTAAATGAGAAAATACCTCCTATGGAGGGTTGCTTCACATCAGGGTTTCCCAAACTTGGGTCTCCATATGTTTCTGGGTTACAGTTCCCCTCATCCCTGACCACTAGTCCTGATGGGAGTTATAGTCCAAAAGCAGCTGGAGACTCAGGTTTGGGACAACCTTGCTATACCTTATCAGGTGCTGGTCCGGGTGCTATATCAGGCATAGTCAGTCATCACCTCCCCTGTGCTAACTCCCTGCAGGCTTTCTTGGCGTCTCTCAACCCTCCAATGGTGGTGCCGGAAGACAAACTGACAAGGTGGCATCCCCGGTTCAATGTTGACGACGTGCCCGACATCGTCCCTGCGGAGGTGCCTCAGCCCCCGCAGGTGGACAAAATCACGACTGCTCAAGAGGTGCTGGCCAAGGCTCGCAGCCTGATGACGCCCAAGGTAAAGCTGGCCAAAGGAGAAGGCCCTCTGAGTGTGGGTGGAACTCTTTGACTTAGCTATTATTTCCATTTTATATCCTGTTCTCCCTTGCAAAGGAGCCCCCGGGGCAGCAAACCTGTCAATAACATCAATTTTTTTATAAAGCCTTCTTGCAAACAGTTAGCCACTCATCTCTCAAGGTTGCCAGGAGCAGCTTCTTTCAGCCGTCAGATGGAATTCCTTGTGGAAGGAATTCCACGTGGAAGGAATTCCACAAATGGGGAGCCACCACCGAAATGCCCCTGTCGTAGGTTGCTGCCAACTGGGTATGCCCCAGTGATGGCACAACTGAAGCCTCACCTGCCAATCTTGGGATATGAGATATTGAGGAAGGCGCCATATAGGGATTTCTATGCTAATACTTTGAATTTCTGTGTACTAAATTTGTAAGGAATATTTTATATAAATTTGTACTGATACCTTGAATTTATTATGAGTGGATCTTGACCATCGAAGTATGAACAGTTGTTATGGGTCTGCCTGCTTGTGTGACTATTGACTCTTTCCCTGCAGTCAGAAGTTGCCATTTTTTTCTTTGGACTTGCTTTTATTTTGGCCTTCATGCCAGCCCAAAATTTGGGATTTGGTACTAGAGAGAGAAAGCCTGTGGCTAGATAAAGTTGGTTGTTGATTACTGTGATGGAGAAGAGGGAGCAACAGGTCCTCTCTGCTGCCTCAACCACCTGCATCTCAGTTGAATGGGCTGTTTGTGCATGGTGGGGGCGAGAAATTGTTCAGGAGCGTATCAGTTTACTGTTACGCATGGCATCGCAATTGCTTTTCAGCTACGCAAGACTCCTTTGCTTGCCAGGTGAGAAAAACTGCTACTGATGGCTGACCCACCTGCTCTCTCTTTCTTTCTGCCACACCCAACAACAGATGGAGAAGGCGCTGGCCAATCTGGCTCTGAGGACCGCCGAAACCAGCCCCTCTGTGCCGGAGTCCCCTCGGCCATCCCCGCCAGCTCCGGCTGGCACCCCCAGCAGCCTGAAAGGGGTTTCGCAGTCCTTGTTGGAGAGGGTGAGTGCCTTGCCGTCTCCTCACCAGGCAGGCTTCAGGCTTGTGCGATGTGGGTCACCTTTGTTCTTGGTTTGTAAATTAGGGAAGTCCAGGTCCCAACATCCAAAGTCATAAAGGGGTTTTGCAGATGGGGCAGGACCACTGACCTGCTCCATGTCATGCATCATTGCTATTACTCTTACTTTTATTTTATTTTAATTTTTATTTAGTTTAGTAAGTAGTATTAGGGTGGTGGGGGACGCGGGTGGCGCTGTGGGTTAAACCACAGAGCCTAGGGCTTGCCAATCAGAAGGTTGGCGGTTCGAATCCCCGCGACGGGGTGAGCTCCCGTTGCTCGGTCCCTGCTCCTGCCAACCTAGCAGTTTGAAAGCACATCAAAGTGCAAGTAGATAAATAGGTACCGCTCCGGCGGGAAGGTAAACGGCGTTTCTGTGCGCTGCTCTGGTTCGCCAGAAGCGGCTTAGTCATGCTGGCCACATGACCCGGAAGCTGTACGCTGGCTCCCTTGGCCAATAAAGCGAGATGAGCGCCGCAACCCCAGTCGGCCACGACTGGACCTAATGGTCAGGGTTCCCTTTACCTTATTAGGGTGGCACCTTTGAGTGCAAATTGCTGGAAACTGCAAGATGGGAGAGTGCCCTTGTGCTTGGGCCCTGCTTGTGGGATTCCCATTGGGGGCATCTGGTTGGCCACTCAGAACAGGATGCTGGGCTAGATGGCCTGATCCTGCGGGCTCTTCTTATATTCTTCCCCTTCCCACACAGACTCACTCCTTGCTCTTCTTGCAACGCTCTTTGCCCTGCCCTACCCACCCCCTTTCCTTGCTGCAGACAAGATGCACACTTAGAATTCTAAAGGACGCATAGCTCAGTTCCAGCAGAGCATCTGCTTTGCATGTAGAAGCTATCAGGTTTGATCCCTTCTGATGCTGCCACCACCACCACCACCACCTCTCTCCCTTTCTCTCTCTCAGGTCAGAGCCAAGGAAGTTCAAAAGCTGCAGGCGCTGATGGTGCGGAACCCGCAGCAGGAGCGGCGCCTGGACATGCTGTCGCGTCTGCCAGAGATGGCGCGGGTCCTGCGCAACGTCTTTGTGGCGGAGAAGAAGCAGGCGCTGCCCCTGGAGGTGGCGTGCCAGCGGATGATGGCCAGCTACCGGTCCCTCATGACGTTTGGTAAGGGGAGGAAGTGGGCACACCTGGCGAGCTTTGAGAGGGAGAGAAGGGGGGTGATGCCTTGTCTCCAGGCAGAGATGGGGAAGCTGTGCCCCTCGGATGTTGCAGAACTATCATGCCTCATTTTAGGCGGCTCCCAACACCTGAATCTGCTCCATTCTTCCACCCCATCGGGGTTTGTTCCTTCCTGTTTATTTTCTAATTTCCCCCAGCCATTTTTAAAAGTGTGTCCCCTGTATGAAGTTCCAGAACTAGAATAGGCTGTATTTTAGGAGCATAGGAATTGGCCTGCTGGGTCAGGCAAGTGGCCCATCTAACTGAGCATCCTATTCCCCCAGTGTCTGACCAGATGCCTGTTGGAAGCCTGCAAGCTGGACAGGAGTGCAACAGTGCTGAGGCCTAACGTCTCTTAACATTGGAGGCAGGGTGTAGCCTTGTCCTCCATGAGTTAGTCTGATCCTCTTTTAAAGCCATCCCACTTGCTGGCCATCACTGCCTTCTGTGGGAGGCAAGTTCGAGATCAAAGTTTCAGCTTAATTTATCTTTAAATACTTGACTTACAAAGCAATGCTTTGCTGCTGGCATGGCTTGGGGTGAAGTTGTTTACCTCCCAGCTGTGTAAGAACAAACACCTTATAGGTGTTTGTAGCACACAATCGGAAAAGATCAACTTCCACTGCAACAGTGGCTGAATTGGTCTGTTGTGTTTACCCCAAAAATAATCTTCTGTATACTTGAGGGTAACCCGATCAAACCCAGTTGGGCTAGATATTCTAATCTGAAGCAGGGTGATCGCTAGTCTAGAAAACTTTCCTTTTTTTGTCCTGGCACCACCCTCTGCCAGCGTGTGACTCCCGACTTACTATACACGGAGCCCTGGGAATGTGCCCTCTAACCAAAAAAAGCTGCATATCTTTTTAAGAGGATTAATCGTGCAACCGTCTGCATGCAAAGAGTCCTTTCCCTGCCATGTTTTCAGTGGTGATTTAACCACCAAGGAGTCATTTATAGTGGGTATCCCTATGATAGACAGGGGCTTTCTGTTCTCACTTAACAAAAGCTGTTAAGTGAGAAAACAATCAGATGACCCAGCACTCTGTCTGAAACTCTTCCTCTGTCCCTGCAGGAGAGACAGAAAAGCACCTTCGTCTCCTCTCAGAGCTGCTGCCTGGCTGGGTGAGCGTTGTCCCCATCCGGCAAGAAACGTACATCAAGCTGGACAAAAGCGTGGACCTCAACGTTGTCACGGAGAGACTGGCCGCAAGGGCAAAGGAAGAGGAAAGGCTCTAATCTATGCTGCAGGATGGGGGGAGATCATGATGCCTTAGGCTCAGCATCATCATTGTGTGCCTGTTGGCACAGTCTCTCTTGGGAAAGGACCCCGATGGCCAGAGACGTGTGTGTCGTTTTCTCTCCTTGCAGCTGATGCATGAATGTGAGCAAAATGTGAATATTGTGGCTTTTTCAGAATTAAGAGGATATGGCATCTCTCCTTCCTTCCTTCCCTCCTAGTTTTCTAAGTGCCATCCTGGTGCCTGTGTAGCTGTTACGGTTCTGTAAGGCCACAAGAGGGCAGCACATACAAACCAGGAAATTCAGTTTGATTGGCGCATCACAACAAAGTACCAAACTTTTCGCCTTCGTGCATTAAAAAAGTTCTTTGTCAGCACCGCTTCCCCACTTGCCAGATTTGCTGAACAGGCATAGAGAATGACGCTGCAGGACCACAAAGCCATTACTCCTTTCATGACTAGCATTTCCATTCCCTCATCTGGCAGGAACGGGTGGGAGCTGCCTTTTTCCACAAAGGGAGTTTCAGTTCCTCCAAGACTTGGTAGACAGAGGACATTAAAAGTACTTTTAAAAAAATTGGTTGTAAAACATAACTTGTATATGAACCTTAGCAATAACTATTTATTGATCAGGAGGAGCTTAAAATGAGTGATTTTTAACTGGCCAAGCCATTTAGTTGACATTTTTGTCCCTTAGCTTCAGTAAAGGGGATTGAGCCAAGAGCAGCGGTGGTGGATTTCTGCAATTTCGTTTGAGCCTGAGGTCACAGGTCCACCATACATTTAACGTACTACACTTGCCCCAAAGAATGCTGGGAACTGTAGTTTGTTAAGGGTGCAGAGGTTCTAACTCTGAGTGGTAAACTACAGTTCCCAGGATCTTTGGGGGGAATTGACTTTGCATGCCTTAGAGCACCCTGTCTCAACCTTTCCCCAGATGTTGGACTTACAGCTCCCATCTTCCCTGACCACAGCTCCCGGCTGGTTAAGGATTATGGGATTTGTAGCCCAACCACCTGGGACCCTGAGGTTGGGAAAGGCTGGCTCAGCCCATTGTACGGCTCTACAATCTCACACATGGAACCAGGGAATCTATCTGCCAGTAAACGGACTTCCTTGTGACTGCATGTGACCTCATCTCATCCCCTTCCTTTATTTTTTTGGCTCTGTGCAAACTGCTGTTGTGACTTATTTGCCTTAAACCTATGAAATTAATTATAGTTCACCCTGTTAGGCAATCCATGGGTTTGGGAGCTAAATGGGGCCCTTGAATTGAGGTCCCTGGCCTGCACCTGCCTCTTAGCATTGCAGCACTAGAGCTATTCTGTACTAACTCCAAAACCATCAGTGGCAGCACTGGATTATCTGTTCTGTGGCCACAGGAAGCTGAATAAAACCCCTATTCACAAATACCTTAACTGACTTGCTTGCAAGCTTAAGGGGTGGCTAATTTGAGGCCCTCGAGCTGTCACTGGACTACCGACTCCTATCATCCTGAACACCAGCCATGCTAACTGAGGCTGATGGGAGCTAGCTGGGGGCACCTACTGCCTTTTGTTGAAATGATCTTGATGCCATTTTTAGTAGTTAGAGCAACCTTGCAATAATATTTTAGAAATCAGCATGAAAATAAAGAGAAAGCGGAATGCAACAAAACCAAACGACCCCAAACCCACAGCAAACAGAAGAATCCACACCAGAAAAGTGGTGCAGGTGAGTCTGCACATTTTGATGGCAAAACTGAAGATCTAGCTAGAAAAAATGGCGTTATTGTTAATTATGCAAATAAAACTTCATTCTTTTTGGAGTTGGTGTTGTTTTTTTTTAAGGTGTTGGCATAAGAGAAGTTCTAGGGTGATCAGAGTATAATATTTATTATATATAGAGTATATTTTATATATAGAGAGTATATTTTTAACTTTAAAGTAAACATAAGCAGAGACATTTTGTATGCGTCTCTTAATGCTGATAACATAAATGATTTTAGCCAGAAGAGTTATTTTGAAGAGAGTCAAGGAGGCGGAAGGAAAGGGTTAAGAGTGGGCTGTATCCACTATGTTTTACTTAGGTCTATTAATTTCACTGGGTCTGCTCTAAGTCATGTCCATTAATTTCAATGGTTCTACTCATACACTGGATGGTTTTAAGTCACTGGTGCTTTTACTACCTGGTTCTCTTCCTCAACTGTAAATTACGTGAAAGGGACACTTTTTTTACAAGCTGTTTCGAATCTGGGACAGCACAGAAGTACTTTTCCATTCCAGTGCCAAAAGAAAGACCTGTGCAGAACCGCAAGCCATAGCTATTGGGGGAAATGCTCAGGGTGCAGTTCATCCAAAGTGTTCTAAGAGGATGTCCATAATATGCTGGCATGGTTTAGGTGGAATTTAGCAACCAAGACTGATGCCAACCCTAGGCATCCCTGCCCTGGGGGTGCATTCCAGCTTTTGCAAGGACTACAACTTCTATCATGTCTTCTTACTGAGGCTGATGGGAACTGTAGTCCAAAATGTTTCAAGGACACCAGGCTGGCTCTCCCTGCCCCCCCCCCAATTAGCATAGAGGAATAACAATCTCTTGCTTTCTAAAAGGTGTAAGTGACTTCTGTTTTGAAAAGGCTGACTCTGGGAAGCCTCTATAGGCCTGGGTTCTGGTGAGCGAGTCGTCCCCTTCCCAATCTGGTAAGTCCAAGACTGCCTATAAGGAGATAGCCTTAAAGAAAAATCCGAGCTTCATTTGGTGCTTTTAATAATAATAAAAGCCTCTCCCATGGCACTTAAATAATTAGCCCTTCACTTACAAAGTCCAAGGTGACAACGGCAACTTGATGGGAGCAAGGGTCTCTTTAAGATAAAAAAGAAAAGAAAGCTTGCAGGCAACAATGCAAAGCCGGGAATTGTTTGGCAGAGGAAGGCGGCAAGGCCATCTCAACTGAAACAAGGCTTGAGGCAGGCGGTCACTCCTGGGTATCAGTCATACTGCAGCAGCGAGTAGAGGGAGTTTGGCTTGATGGCTTCTTGCCCTTTAAGGGACTTTAACTCTATAAGCACCACACACTCCAGGATATTAGCCCCCAGCTTCTTCATCAGCTCACAGGCAGCTTGCATGGTCCCTAGATGAGAGACGGGGGTGTTACTCATGCAGAAGAAAAACCTGCACTGTTCAGCTACCCTTGATTGTAACATGAGAAGAACCCACAGCTGGAGCCCACAACCTGTTCCCTCCATGGCCAACCAGACAGCTATGGGAATATCTCCCCCAACTTGTGATTCCCAACAACTGGCACTCAGAGCATGCTGCTTTTAACAGCGTGGGGTAGGGCACAACCTTATCCTCCACCAATATGTTAAACCCAAGTGGGCCAACATTACGCCATGTGTTTGCAATTGGGTAATTAGGACCAAGTAAAAAAATGGAAGGAAGCTTCCGAGTTCTCCAGAATTCCTCATCAGGAAAAATGTGACACAAGTTGAGAGGTGGTGGACAGGCAACTTTTGAGGAGGAAACTAAAACAAAAGGGCAGAAAAATGAGGCTGGATAATGTTTTAGCCTTGAGATCTGCTTACATGTCGAGTCTAGCATGGAGATTGCAGACTTGTTCCTCTCTCGGGTGCAGAACTATCATGTTGCACACTTGAGATTAAGGAGGAAAAACATGGCTTGAGCAAGCAAAGCCTGGCATGTCACCCAGTGCTGACCAGCACCCACAATGAATCCACAAGGTCCTGGGCAGGCAAGAGAGCAGGAATAAAGAGGGACATGGCAAGTCTGTCTTTGGGCTAAGCCAGCGGGGGCGTCATCTTCCATTCGGGTGTCTGCAGAACTGGAAAGGACCCCGACTGCCAATCCTCTCTACCCAACAGCCTCAGTACCTGCCCGGTTCTCACCTCCTGTGGCAAGTAGGTCATCGATCAAGAGCACATTCTGACCGGGGCTCACTGCGTCGTTTTGAACTTCGAGCTCTGCCTGTGGGATGCAAAAGAAGGGTGGATTTTAGGCTTGCTGAATGGGCAATGTAGTGGCCAGAATCCTGGGGTGGGGGCTCATCACCCCAAAATGTGGGATAGAACTGCCTGGCATTGGCGAGGGAGCAGGGAGGACTCAACCGCCAGCAAGTCAGCTGTCAGTGGGAAGAAGAGTGGCATGAATGCTATCAGCTCTGCTGATAGGGGATTGGGGTGGAAAGAGGACTTCAGGGGTGGGGCTACTCTCTAACAAGCAAACGGCAGCCAGAAACGCCACTTGCCTCAGTTGTAAATTCCAAGAACTGTAAGAACTTGTGTTTGGCAAGATGTGGTTCACAATATTGATTACAAGTTATGTGAAAAGCTGTGGAAAATGAATATGGATTTCATGGCATGCTATGCGATAAAATATGAAAATGACCCACAGATGGTGTTCAACACACACCAGATTGGCCAAAATGTCTAAAAAAAGAAAAAGGTATATGTTGGAAGTGTAATGAAATCCTTTTTCCACATGTGGCGGTCCTGTAGAGTAATTAAGGAATATTGGGCAACAATATATAAAGAATTTAAAAATATATATTAAAAAAACTTTCTCCAAAACATGTGAGATTTTCCTCTTGGGAATGGTAACAACAGAGGTCAAAAAAAAACCCCAAGAGAGTTTATTACTATATGCCACCACCACAGCTAGAACCTTATTGGCACAAAGGTGGAGAACAAGTATAGTACCCACTAAGGAAGAATGGCAGTGTAAAATGTTTGAATATGCTGGACTGGATGGTCTGACAAACAGGATAAGAGAAAACAAAGAGAAAGAATACAAGGAGGAATGGATAATGTTTAGTGAATATTTTAAGAACCAGTATAAACAAATACATAGCTGAGCAGGTCTCAAGTAAATCCAGCAGCGTTGAAATAGTTTTTAAATAGATAACAAACTGGATGATTAAAAAGATGTGATTACATGGAGTAGAAAAACAAAGGAACAAGGAAAAGGGTGGAAGGGAAGTTATATGGTATATGTATACATGCTGTATTTGGTACAAAGTCGTAAGTGGGGCAGGCGGAGGGGGGGGGAAGTGTGCTCTGTTCCTGTTTTTGAAAATGCAAATAAAAAAGGGAAAAAAGAATTTGTGTTTGAGCTTTTCCCTCTTCCTTTTTCCTCATGTGTCATGTCTTTTTAGATTGTGAGTGTGAGGGAAGAGACTGTCTTAGAGCTGACTTTGCTAAGCTGCTTTAAGATTTTTTGGTGTACAAATGTGGTAAATTAAAAATTATAATACACTTTTTAAAAAAATGGCTTTGCATTCTCCTGCTGAGCCAGCATAAATCAACACTGGGCGATTGTTAGAAGCCCCTCCACCAGAGCTGCATTTGAAATCCTTTGATTAGCCCCCACCTCCACCCCCTAGAAAAAAAACCCCACCAATACCTGGCCATATTCCAGAGAGTAGGCAACAGACACTGTGGGACCTGGTAGCTTCCCCTTCTTCCGTATTAGCACAAATCCAACTCCCAATCTCTGTGCCAAAGCTGGTCCAAAAAGGAATCCTCGGGAATCAAGACCTGTCAGAAGCAGAGAAGCAGCAGCTTACTTTCTCAGTCCTCAAAGTTAAAAGCGGTACTCCCATCGTTGTGGCACAGTGAGTGTGGTATGTGAGGCGTTCTACCTGCTGACAGGAAGATGAGATTGTAAACCTGTCTCTGGTCTTCACACTGCAGGGGGGCAGCGCGCGTTCACATGACAGAATGCTTGTGAATGCTTGTGCAATCCCCCGCAAGTAGAAAGTTAGCAGACCGGGGAGAAACCAGGCACAGGTTTAGAAACTTCTGCTGCTGTTTGCAAGGCCATTCAGTGGAGGCTTAAGTGGAGCAAATGCCAAGCTCTTTGTGATTTAAAGGGAGTACTGTCTGGTTTCAGTGGCTCAGCCTTGGCATATACATTTGACCAAGAGTGCATCTGAGCATGCACAGAGAACTCAGAGGAGTCAAGGGAGGAAGATTTGTTGTCAGGATGCAGCATGTTTGTAGATGGGGCATTCATGGCCTCAAGATCCACTGACTTTCTCTCAAGGACAGCCTTCCCCAACCTGGTGCCCTCCTGAGCTTTAAAGACAAACTGGTCCCTGGCTCACCTGCAATGTACTCAACCTGGGGATGTGAGGCCTTGACGTGAGCTTCCAGGAGGTCAATTGCAGCTGCAAAGGCAACAGGGTCCTTTAAGATGGGGGTGATATCTCTATGGAGAGAAAGAAGCACTTGTCAAAAAAAATTCTTTGTGAGTGGGAATTATCCTTCAGAAGAAAAATATTTGGGACCCAGCATTGGGGCTGCTTTATAAATGAAGTTAAAGCAACAGGTATCTAACCTCTTGTGTATTTCCCTTATTCTCCCACTTCCTCTAGGCTTAATCAAACCTGAAAGCTAGGTACTGTATCACTTCAGTCACGTCCCCTGGCCCACAGATGGCATATTCCGCTTGCTATGGCGCTCCTTGGGGCATGGGCCTCAGCAGGAACTTTTCGCTGGGGCAAAGTAAAACACTGAAAGGGGGAAACTGGCCAAAAAACGAGAAGAAGCATGGCTACATGTTTTTAGGTTCCACGCATGCTAGAAACAGCCTGTGGAATCAGGGAGTTTTGGGTCATGTCCCACCTACCCACCCCTGTGGATGCCCATACTTGCTGAGAGGGCAGAAGCACTGGGTCCTGGTTTTACTTTGTCCCCTGATCGAGGGCAGAAACCAGCCTGGGCCTCCTTTCATCTCTGCAGTGCTGGGGCAAATCATTTAGCAACTGCGCACATAAGTGATTATGCTTCTGGACTGCAAACTCTGCTCCAGAGACCTGCCCTGCTGGTACTTTGGAGAGCACCAGGCGCCTGGAGGGCGTGATAATAAATAAATGGATGTTTTTAGAAGACGACCACCCCCACCCCTACTTCGAGCACCGGCTTAATCTGAGCCCTGGAGCCTCTTAAATGAGGGGCATTCGACAACCAGAGGGAAGAAGTTTACGGTCAGAAAAAAAGTGTACTTCGGAGCATGGGCAGAGTGCATTTTCCTCTCCCCAGTCGCCGGGACCTTGTAGTGGCCCACTGGCAACAGGAGCGCTTCCCCAAGGGAGGGGGAAGGATTGCGCTCTGCACATGCTCAGGGGAACAAGACCTCGGCATCACATATAGCCCAAAGTGGCCGCTACCCGTCCCGCTTACCGGAAAAGCACCCCCGGCGTGGGAAAATCGGGGAACTCCCGGATCCGCTCCTGGACCAACCGCCGCTTCTGTTGCAGCCGCAGCTGCCGCAACTCAGCGCCCATGGCTAGAGCAGTCAATCTGCTCTGTACGAAGCAACGCGCATGCGTGGCAGAGTCGTCCTCCTGGGATAAACCATTCGGCGGCGGGGGGGGGGCGCTAGTTGTAAGGAACCACCACTCTTGCGCGGTTGGCGGGGGTGGAGTGAGCAAAGAAAGTTAGAACCTTCAGGTCCCTAATCTATGTGGGGTTATATTAACCACATAGATTAACTTACCCTGAGTTTTAAGGTCCAGCTTTGTGCACAGAACCAAGGCCGTTAAATATTTTTGGTTTTAAAAACGGAGAGTTCTTTTCCTCCACTTTGTCAGCGGGTGCTCAAGGGCGAGGCAGGACTCTTATTGCACATTTAGCCGGTGAATCAGCAGAGACTGGTCGTTTTGCAGCCCTGGCCTTCCGCTCTCTGGCCGTCATCAACGCGAGCTATACTTTGCAAAGGTCAGGTCCCTGCCCCACCTCCCTTACAATCGAGAATCTTGACACAAGGCACACGCAGAGGAGAGCTGGGATCAGAAAATATGGGGTCATTGTAGCTACGAGGACTTGGAGTGGGTTTGTGCACTATTTTCCAGAGGAAAAGTCCTCTCTTTATTTTCTGTCTTATTTAATTTTCCTCCAAGGAGCTCAATGTGGCATACATTGTCTTCTCCTCCTTCCCCATTTTTATAATTCACAACAATCCTGTGAGGTAGGTTAGACAGAGTGACTGGCCCAAGGTCACCCAGTGTGCTTCCTGGCTGAGTGGGGATTCAAACCCAAGTCTCCCATGTCCTAGTCCAGCATTCTGACCACTACACCACACTGGCTGTCCAGTCCAAGTCTGGTTTAAAGATAAACCAGCCTACCAGTAATTAGCAGATCAAGCAAGCGCACAACTCCCCCCCCCCCGATATTTAAATCATTGTGATTTCCCCCTTAAAATATGCAAATATAATTGGTTTATGCAAATACAGTGGTACCTTAGGTTAAGAACTTAATTTGTTCTGGAGGTCTGTTCTTAACCTGAAACTATTCTTAACCTGAGGTACCACTTTAGCTAATGGGGCCTCCTGCTGCCGCCGCGCCGCCTGAGCATGATTTCTGTTCTCAGCCTGAAGCAAAGTTCTTAACCCGAGGTACTATTTCTGGGTTAGCAGAGTCTGTAACCTGAAGCGTCTGTAATCTGAAACGCCTGTAACCCAAGGTACCACTGTATTATGCAAAGGTGACCTCATTTTGTGTCATGCATTTCCTGTCCTTTGGCAATCTGTAGGTGGCCATCCTCTGTGTACTTTTTGTTTTTTTAAATAACTTTTTATTGGGTTTTAGAAATAAAGATCATAGGAATTATAAGTGATACAAATAAATAGACCAAGTCTTCTCGTGTCATTTGTACATCACAAAAATAGCATAAAAAATTTGCAGTAACAGCTACAACATATCTTCAACCTTTTCCAACCAAAGACCCAGTTCTAATCCAAACATGCATATGGGAACATGTTTCTCATTTATTTAACCATATATCTGTATGTTGGCCATGCTGCTGCTGTGACCCACTTTAGATCATGCCGTGATCCAAACTGTTGGCGCCAACCCTCTAGCTGAAGTCCCAGTATTGGAGGAGACTCTTGAGAGTCCCATGGACTGCAAGAAGATCAAACGTATCCATTCTTAAGGAAATCAGCCCTGAGTGCTCACTGGAAGGACAGATCGTGAAGCTGAGGCTCCAATACTTTGGCCACCTCATGAGAAGAGAAGACTCCCTGGAAAAGACCCTGATGCTGGGAAAGATGGAGGGCACAAGGAGAAGGGGACGACAGAGGATGAGATGGTTGGACAGTGTTCTCGAAGCTACAAACATGAGTCTGACCAAACTGTGGGATGCAGTGGAACACAGGAGTGCCTGGCATGCTCTGGTCCATGGGGTCACGAAGAGTTGGACACGACTAAACAACAACAACAACAACTGTATGTTGGTCATGCTGCTGCTGTGACCCACTTTAGATCATGCCGTGATCCAAACTGTTGGCCCCAACCCACTAGCTGAAGTCCCAGTATGTAGTTTAGGGCTTTAAACGGCAACAACAAAACCTTGAACTTGGCTTGGTAAGCAATAGGCAGTCAGTGCAGATTGTTTAACCCTAGTGGATGTGTTCAAAGCTGGATGTCCCATGAAGCCCCCTTGTGGAGCAGAAGGGAGAGTTTCTAGAACTCACCTTGGCAATGCTGGATTTCCAGTTGTAACGGTTTGCTTCTGTTCCTGTAAGAATGTGGCTGAAACCCTGAACATACTTCTCAATTAATATGCTTTGTGCTGGCCATTTTTAACCTTCTTGCAGACACGAAAGAGGTAGCCAGGTTTGGTCCATTAGAATAGAATCCACAGATCAGCTAAATAGCCAACATTCATGGTACAGTCTGCAAGCTTTCAAGTTACACAGAACTCTTTGCAAGGCTAGATAAGACAGAAAAGAATGCATCTTGGGTGAAGGAACACCATACAAGGTGCATGTAGGGGCACTGCGATTTCCCCGTTTCCAGTCTCCATTGCTGAAAATATTTATTTTTTCTTTAAAGGGATATAGTTGAGCTGAAAGCCTATACAAAGGTCACATCCATCCAGAAGGATTTGCATTTCTCAGAAAGGCCTTTGTTGGGCAAGACAGAGAACGGGCTGGGTGGGTGATGAAGCAGAAGGTCACTGTGTAGGCTATTTTCACAGCTGTCCCTGCTAATACTAGGATTTTCTCAAAGACAAATTATCTCCTCCACCACCAGAAAAAATCCTTTCCCCCAACAGCTGGCCCAAGCTGGCCAGTCCTTAGCAACAGAAGAAACAAACACTGACCCAAGCATGCAACTTTCCATCGGAACACAGAGCTTTTTTAACAGCTATATCCCCAAAGACAGGAAGTGATTGGAATTGCAGGGGGGTTCTGTTTTGCAGTTGAGTTTGTTCTGCAATTTCACCACCAATTCGGCTTTTCTGTGACAACCCTAACACCTTCCTTTTCACAGGAGAAGGCTATAGATAGCATCTTTATTACAACTTTGCCATCTTTATTGGATCTGTCTTCACAACAACCCTGTGAGATAGGCTACTGTCATAAAGTTTGACAGAGAAGGTGACTTACTCAAGGCTGCTTAATGAATCCATGGCAGAGGCCAGTCTTTCAATGTCTCCCCTGGGATCCACTTAGTGAAGTGGAACAAGACTTTGCTGGTGTAGGCATGTGAAGAAATCCATCACAGCTTAAACCAAAAGGCTTGGCTTATCAGACAGAATTCTAGCATGACTGGCCCCCAAGGCACTTCTGCTCCTTTCCTTCCCCAACTTCTCACATTTTAAAATACTGCACGCTGGGATTTGCATTTCAAATCTTATTATCTTCCACAATCTCATTCAACAAGGAGCTCAGGGAAGAGAGACACAGCACTTGTAGATCACATATTATATTGGTTTTAATTTCTTACAATCACACAATAAGAAAGTTATAAAGCTGACAAAAGTATTTCTTGAAAGTTAACAACAAACATACAGAACTCTTCTAATCATACTAAAAACAACATCACAGCAGCAGACATTTCTTTATATTAACCTTTGGCACTCCCTGAAAATGTATATTTTGGCACCATTTGAGACCAAGTCTTAAAAGAAATGTTGGCAATGGAGAACACTTCTTTGCATAGCAAAATAACAGAAGAAAGGTTTACCTTGCCAGCCATCTGTTTCCAGCAGTGGCTGACCAGGTGCCTCCAAGAAGCCCACAAGCTGGGCCTGATGACAACTACCCTGTTGTTCTTCCATCCCGCAGCAACTGGCATGCAGAGGTAGACTGCCTCTAAACATAGAAGTTCCACTTAGCTATCAGAGGCATTAATTATTGATAATATAGCTCAGGTGTGGGGAGCATCTGGCCAGACAATTTTGGCCAAGCCACACTCACCTGCCCTAGACCTGCTAGCATATATTGCATCAGGTGTGAGATGCAGGTAAAGTAATAGCTGGGCCCAAAAGGGCACCTGCGGAGCCCTTTTTGAAGTGCAATGCAGGACTCTCTGCAAACACCAATGATCAGCTGACTGTTAGTGCTCGAAGAGAGCCCTGCACTGCCAAAGCCCCAACAATCAGCTGTGCTTGGCTGCACTAGGAAGTTATCTAGTGCAGCCAAGGGGGCTGCAGGAAGTAACTTGGATTTAAAGCACTTCCTCCTGTGTTTTGAATCCAAAAAGCTAAGAAAGAAAGAAAGAAAGAAAGAAAGAGAAAGAAAGAAAGAAAGATGAAGCAGTTTGTATTGAAAGCGCTGGAGAAAGCACTTTGAGTAGAGACCATTTTCTTTGCAGAGGGAAAAAGACTTCAATTTTAGGTGCATTGTCCCCTCTGCAAAGACTTCAAAGGGGCTTCCTGTAACTAATGATCAGCTGAATGGTGGATATGGCTAGTTCATTGCACTTCCAGTGCCAATCAGCTGATTAGTGCTGGAATAACATCCTCAAAGGAGGATGCAACAACCTCCTTTAAACTTTGACACCATTATGATGTCTGGTGATTGACAGGTGGGTACTCCTGCCCACCTGCCAAAGCTGGCCTGCAGAGGGTATGGGAGACATTATAGCCAATAGACTGTAATGTTGCTGGCACTCCATGCAGTGAGCAGCAGCATTTGCTCCAAGCACGTTTAATCAACACTGTACATTCGCTGGAGCCACTGAATACTGGCATCGACGCTTAACAATTTTTAGATGGCACAAAGATGCTCTGTCTCATCAGGTCCAGAAGGGTTCCTGAGCTCCAGGACAAACTTCCAATTCTAGGCAGTGGGAGGGGAGCAGAATACTGTGAGAGATGATCACAACTGATAACTGAGGGCTCAGTCTCAAAGGAACTTATGAGTAGCAAAGGACTAAGGCAGGCTCTCCAGCCCTAATATCTGAAATAGTCTTAAGCTCACAGTACCTTGGCCCTGTCTGTACTGAGAGGCTGAATTCATACAGATTTACTGCTGTAACCCTGAGAAAGAGAGGAGGGAAACACTCTGCGCTTCTTCCCACAATGCCCCTTTCCTGAAGAAATGATCCGCAGCAGCCCTGTCTCCAGCAGGTCAGGCATGAGATGCTCAGTGGGGCCAAAAGCACTTATGAGGGTTGGGGCTGGGAGGCTTCAAACACTTCCCTATCTTCTCACAGCCTGGAGGAGCCCAATTCTGTTGCAAGACAGGAAGAGAAACTGGGTCAGCCACAAATCACTAGGAAAAATTAGTATCTGAATTTGCTTGCTTTCCTGTTATATCCCAACCCACCCCCATTTTCAGATGATGTCTCTCACCTTGGTCGCCTGGAGGCAGGGGCTGTTGTGCATTACACTTTGTGCATTACTTAGGATACCTTTGGCCAGAAGTAGCTAACCTGAAAGCCTCTGATGCTCTGCTTCCAACCCCCATCCCCCCTGAACACTGGCCTTCCTGGCTGGGGCTGATAGGAGGTGGAATCCAGCAAGGTCTGGAGGGATGCAGGTTCCTCACCCCAGGCTCAGGCACTTTATTAACAACAACAACTTATTTCTGTTAGAAAAGTGACATTCAAGAATCACTACACCTTGTGCACAGGATGGTAAAACTAGTGCAAAGACCCACATGCTAAAACCCCATTCCACCAGACTGGGCTGCCTTGTCCTCTTCACAACAGTATTAGCTCCCCCCCCCCCCGCACTATCCCTGCATTATTCTGGGGCTGTCTCAAATCCCTCTTCTGGCATCGTGATAAGTGAGCAAACCTTTGTATTGCTGACAGGAAGAGAGAAACAGCCCTAGACTTTGAAAGGCTCTATAATTATTTTGCACAGACATATTTGCGGAGATTACCCAAAGCGCTCAGGAGAAGACAGCAGTCTCGGAAGGCCAAGGGTGAGACAGATAAGAACATTTGTGTTTTAATGAGCAGTTTGATGGATTAGCCCGCCAACTGATGGATTAGAAGGCATTTACATGGCGACACCGAAACAGGAGAGCTCAGCCTCGACACCTCTGTGGTTCACCGGAATTATCATGCCCTTGCTTGAGTTTTGTAGAAGACAGCCAATGTCAGGAAGGAGGAAGAGGACACCCTCCACTAAGAGAAATCCCTCCTAGAGCCCAGAAGCGATTGGTTACAACCAGGCAATGAGTGCAACCTACCCACCTGAGAAGTCTCAAGGGGGCCTTTAGTCACCAAACAGCCTGTCTTTAGATGCCATGCAGGATGAGCAGCACAGAATTCTCCAAGGCTGTTCCTGATGGCAGTGGGTCACACAACTGGGGCACCAGGGGAGAAAGTGCCAAAGTGCCTCCTCTCAAATTCTTCACCTCAGCCCTTAATCCAGTGAGCTTCCTCGCTCCCACCCTTATCTCTGGGTCCCTTTGGCTCTGTCATCTTCACCCTTGTGCTGGAAAAGCCTCTTATCCCTCAAAGGCATGTTTATGCCTAGCCTTTACTCTGGCCTCTGACACTTGAGATAGATAATATTTTGGGCCCCACCCAATTCCTGTGGCTGTCATTTGTTTTAAAACGTTATTAATACTGTATTTTCAGATCACTGTAACTTGCCCTGGGACCTTATGGTGAAGGACCTTATGGATAAGGAAATCAACTCTATTTGGAACAGAGCTGAAAGCAGCTCTGGAGAAGGCAAGTGAAAACCAGCAGTAGAGTCAAGCCCTCACTCCTCATCAGCTAGTGTGGACAAGTCAAGAGGGCCTAGACTTCTGCATGAGCCACTCTCAGTCCCCATAAAATGCTCTCTGCTGCACATCCCTCATAAGCCACCCTACCTTCTTCCAATTTGTCCCTTCCCTCATTTGAACCTTTGCTGCTCATTAGTGAATCTATGACCCTCCATTTTGGTCTTTTTCATCCAGCAAAGGCTGCAAGGCCTCTGAGGCGGAGAATGCCTCACATCCATATTCTGTACTGCACCTAGCACACGCTTGGCCCAACATCAATCACCTTCAAAGGGCAGCCAAGCGCATCACCATCTCCCTCCTTCGGCGTCTCTCTGCAAAGCCCACCCATCCATGGGAGAATCCAGCTGTCAGTTTATTAAAGGTCATTCCTGCCCGCTCTGTGCTGTTTGCGTTATTTTTATCTGCTTTGTTTCATGTGAGAGCCCTACAGGGGGAAATAGTTTTCGAGAGGCTGCTGGTGAGTGAGGCTTTGCATTCTGCACTGCTAACACCAGGTGGCAATGATGGCCTGGCAATCACAGCAAAGGGCATTTTTGCAGGCATTCAGCTCTTGGAAGGAGGGCTCCAGCCAACTTAAAGAATAATTAACAGGGTTTTCATAATCTGTCTATCACTTCCAAAATGTAAAGGGAAGGACAGTGGAAGCGGTGCAAGGCAAACAGATGGAAGCCTCAGTTGCCAGAGAAGCTGAAGTTTCTCACAGAGAGTTGGACTCTCCTAGATTTTATGACTGCAAGGGTCAAATTTCTACCTCTTTCAAGGTGCTGTGGTCCCTTGTACATTAACTGGCAACAGATCTCCTGAGTTTCAGACAGTGCTATTTCCCAGCCATACCTGGAGATACCAGGAGTCGAACCTAAGGCCTACTGCATCCCAAGCACATACTAGGCACTGCAAAAGCTGAGAAGAGGAAAGATGTCTCAGTGATGATAGACAGAGACTTTTCAGGCTCATTTCCATATGTATGGAACTGGTCTTTCAGTGCTGCTGCCTCTTTGAATTCACAAAGGAAGATATAGTAACAGAAATGCATGGACTTTTTTTTTACATAAATTCCTAGTGAATTGAAGCACTTCCTGCAAAAAGGGAAAGATGATGTTCTGAGTTGCCCAACCTAAGGGGAGATAAGCTCCACAGACTACATGAAGGACCAGGGGTTTTATGCTTATTTACATTTTAATCCCTTACCATGACCGCCTTGTCACAGACGTTCAGCTGAGGCTGCCCAGGTAGCAATGTCTCCTTGTGCTGCTCGACGATGGGGGAGATTCTTTCTATAACACTTTGGTATTCAGCACTTGAAAAACTGGAAAGGCAGAAAAAGGAGATCAGGCACAACAGAGATGTAAACACAAGGAATGCTGGCATACCTGGTGTGGTGGATGGGAGATTGCTGTGTTATACCACATTAGACTTCTTTGACTATTTAGCCCAGCATCGTCAACTCTGACTGGCAGCAACTATTCACCACCTGCTACCAGATCTACCAGGGACTTCTGCAGGCAAAGCAGGTGCTCTATCATGGAGCTGTGGCTTGTGCTGAGTTACTCAACCCATATGTGGAGTGGCAGATGCGGAGAGCCATCAATGACAACTTCTGCTCACTCTGGAGATGGTGCAGCACAGTCTAGATTAAAATTTCACGTGTTGCACGGCTGTGGGTGCATGGAGTTCGCACATTAGGACAGGAGTGGGCAGATGGTAGACAGACAGCTTGTACACAGAGATCATCCCAGCAAGTGGCTAATGGGGTGTGCAGCAGAAAACTGGCTCTGCCCCTTCAACTACCTTTCTGAGCCTGGTTCTGGTTGGTGGATCCTGGGATTCTAATTTAAAAACAACAACATAGTTCTCCTAAGCCTGACATTTGTTCATGGTTGAATTAGGGATTACCAGACCTAGACAGCTTAAAAAACAGTCCTTCGGCTTCAACCCTAAGGGCCCACCACACTTGCTACCATGCCTTCAGATAGGTTCCTGGACCTGGATGCTTAAAACACTGTTAGGAATAGCATAGAATACGAAGATTGGCCTTCAGCAGGCCCAAGATGCCGTGGATACACAGGGAGCATCACAGCATCTGCCTCACCCTCTGCCTGCTCCCAAGGTAATAGACATAGACTCCATGCCACAGGAACACGAAAGTGGACTGACTCAAGTTATGCTTCACAGAATGGTACCCATTTAAATAGATGTGAATTCCTCCACTGCCACCCTACTGCCACAGAGTGAGCAAAGCACTGACATGTTCAAGGGAATATATTATCTCGAGAGTATATTTTACTTACTTACTTGTTAGAGTCTTTAATCTCATTTCGTTCCCAAATTCTGAATAAGAAGTTAAGTAGTAACACAGAAAACACCTTCAACAACTCAACACCAAGTGATCCAAATCTTTATTTCTGTTTTGGACACTGCAATCATCCAAAGCTGATGTAGTTTAAATGTTCAAAGCTATGACCAATCCAGATCCAGCATGGATCTGGGTTGCAAGATGTCTTATTGTGGCTTCAGCAGCTTTGAGAGGTGGAGAGAGCAATTCTGAGCATGTGGCAATGTGCGTGCCCCACACAGGAACACACACTGAAGACCTTGCTTGACTTTGTTCTGTACAAAAAGTCACTTGAATTAGAACTTCCCAAGATTGTGGAACGTGCAATGTTAGAAATATTGCAAAAAGTTGGAAAAACTAATAATTGGATACGGCAAAGATTAAAAGTAACGGACGCAGTGGAAAAGGTGTGAAGTTAACATGGATATATGCAGGACATGTGGCAAGAGGCAATTTGGGCTGATGAAGGTTAATCAATGCTACAATTTCAAAAGGCCAAGGGCATGACCACCTATGTAATGGGTAGACAATCTAAAATTAATAGCAGGGCTTATGTGGATGCAGGAAGCAAGCAACAGAAGATGATGGAGGGAACTTGAAGAGGCATATATCCAAAGATGGGTGAGAGATGATGGAGAAGACGAAGACAAGGTTGGACACCTTGCATTGTTTTCACACAAGAGGGCTTTCACTGACTCTCCTGTGAATGTTAAGGAGGAGCAGGAAACCAGGCCCCTCTTCACTCTCCCCCACCCCAACAACCCACCCCTTACTCTTATCAGGATTATAAACTTCAGCAGGTATTTGTTTAAGTGGCTTAACGTTCCCTTTCACTGTGGTATTACTTCAAGTACTTCTTAAATGGAGGATTAATACCCAGTGATCTCATTTTGTCCATCATATTAAGAGTCACTTAGGAAACAAAGAACTGCAAATTGCTTTTGGAGATAAAATGAAAACAATGCCGCTCAGGCCTGACCCTGGACCCCCTTTACTCCTGGTCCGAGTTGCCCACTGGCCCCGGGGGCTCCAGAGCATTTCCTTCTCCAAAATCAATCACATTCGAAACCGAGGAACACGCCAACGGTTTCCAGTAAGTGCTATAAATACCATATCTTCTTGGCAGCCTTACAGACACACACAATCAAACACACACACACACACACACACTAAGTCCAATGGTGGAGGTGGATCTAAGCATGGCTCAGAACAAAGTGGAAGGAAGGTTGCAAGGAGGAATTGCATTCTTGAGAACAATAGCAGACTTCATCTCAGAGAAGAGAGAATTTGTGACCTCTTCTGCCACAGAACATAAGAACCAACTGCTGGAGGAGACCCAATGGCAGTCTGTCTAACTTCCCAGTAGCCAACCAGATACAGATAAGCCTTTAAGGCAACAGCTATCAGTGGCTACAAGCCATTTTCTTTATTGGGACACTATACTTCTGTTGATGCAGCCTAGAATAGCATTCACTTCTTTTGCTGTTGCATCACACTGTTGGCTCATGTTTAACTTCTGGTCTTCTAAGACCCCTAGATCCTTTTCACATGTACTACTGGCAATCCAGGTGTTCCCCATTTTATATTTGTGGAACTGGTTCTTTTTGCCTAAGTGCAGAACCCTGCAATTGTCCCTACTGAAATTCATTCTGTTAGTTTTGGCCCAGTTCTCCAATCTGTTAAGGTCATCTGTTGTGCTCAGGTCCCTGCCTGTAGGAATCTGCTTAGCCACTGTGAGAACAGGTTGCTGAAGTCTCTGGAAAACAGGGGTCTGCTTTGATCTGAATCCACTATCCCACTTTTTAAGAGGGGTAGCCCTGTTGATCTGTTGCATCAAACAGACTGTTGTGGCACTGAAAACAAATGCAAAGGCATTTCAAGAAATTAGTAATAGGAACATAAAATTTATATGCACACAAAGAAAGAACAGAGCAAGTCATTCCCAACAACTGACAATGGGGAGAAATAAGTAGAGCAAGAACTGTAGTATTGTATTGTTATCATATAGTATTAACACACAGAGAAAGAGGCAACGGCCTGGTTCATGCGCCAAACTATGGCATCCTGGAACTGTGCAAATTTACAGGCTCCTGGAGAACAGCTTGCAGCTGCTTTGCTCTTCCCCAATTTTTCACTCCTGTGCTGTGCTATGCAAGGCCAAGTCGAGCCACAATGGAGCAAGGCAATGGCGCACTAACCTCACCTGTCTGTCTTCTTGCAGCTGCCCACCAGACATTGCTGTCAAGTTTAATAAAAGCAGGGAACATGGGCATCAGCCAGCACTGGGTGATGGAGGCTGTTTATTTCACTGGGGTGCACACAGGAAATCTTCCCACACAAAAGCAGAGAGCCAGCAGCACAGATTGTAGAGATCTTGTCTTCTCCTGCGCTTATCCTCATCAGCTATTTGAACTGGTTAACAGGCTGGTGCACATATAGATTGCATATGGGATGTACAATACCCCCTGCTCTGCAAAGAAAAGCTGCTTGGTCATGCCCACCTCTGCATTATCCAAGGGAGGAAAAAGAATCATGAGGGAATGAATGACCAGAATCCACAGCAATTTTCATGCTGCTGGTGGTGCTATGCCTGTACAGGTGTTTGGAACGCCTATTGTCTAAGCAAACTGACAGGCTGCTTTGCCCCTGGGCTGCCCTAAATTTGTATTCCGTCTCTTCAAGCCTGCCAAAGGGAGGATGGGAATTGCAGTGGAAGAATGAGAGGGAAGAGAGCGCCAGGGTGAGCAGGTGGTGTTGTGAGGAGTTTGCTCGGAGAGATTCCCCCTGTGTACGCAGAATTATTCCACGCTCAGGATGAAGGAGCAGAGTGGACAGAGTCCAGGGTCATTACACTAATTGACACTTTACCTCCAGGAAGTCCCCAGAGAGCCAATCAGGGATGGATTGGAGGCGCAAGGTCCCAGGCACAGGTGTGGTGTGTGTTTAGTTCATTTAGCGTAATTGTGCTTCTGCAATCTGTTCTCATTGCCCTCCCACTCCAAGCAAAATCTGTACACAACTCACTCCATTGTTAACCCCGCCGTGGCCTGCCGTGAAAACTCAGTTTGGGGCTGGAAGGAAGAAGCTGGTGTTAATATATTGCCTCCCTCCCTGGGCTATGATGATCTTAATCTTTGAGCCTTTACACTCCCCTTTCCAGCTTCACAGAACTGTCTGAGGTTACTGAATCTGAATGATGAGAAGCCAAGCTGTAAATATATATATAGCTTTTTTGTATTTCTCTCTTCCTTTGTTTAAGTATCTGTGTACATACACACACACACTCTCTCTCTTTCTGCATCCAAATGCCTGCAAAGCCAGGTGGTGCAGCTCTCTCCATCTGCAATGAGTTGTGTGTCTCACCCCCTGACTCAAGACAAAACAAAGAAGGATCTGGTAACATAGGAGTCTTTGCTGGAGAAAGCATTTCCCACCCCTAAAAACTTAAGATGCATAGCAATGCAAGTTGGCATAATATAGACATCACCTCACCTATTTTCTCCCCATTTTATATTTTATTCCAAGACAGGCTGTCATTTAAAAAACAACACCACTCTTCCACAGACCTAGACACTGGGAGAACAGCTTGGAACCCTGAGACTACAAAGAGAGAGAGCATGAACTATGCTGGACTATAAGGGACCTATGGCCTGATCCAGCTTTGGGGATCTTCTTATGTTCAGTGGTATGTGCAATACAGTGAGCTCAGGTTTACAGCATCCCCACAGACAGGCAGGTCCTCCCCATATGCTGTGGACAGAATCACCGACAAGCCCATTTTTGTTCCTCTGCTTGCAATGCCCTTACTGGTACCCATCTTTCGAGTGAAATTATGCCTGGGCAAGAAAACACTTGCTCTCCCTCTGAGAAGCACTAATACAGGGACTCCCAACAGGCAGGCTGCCAAGGGGGATAATTAAGGCAAATCAAAAATATGCACCCGCCACACTAGTAACATCTCTGCAAATGAGGATAATTTAATTACCCACAAAGAAGGGGAGACCTCCTTTCCACAAGGCTTCCAATGTGACCGGAGATATGAGAGGATATAAACATTAGAGAGCTTCCCAAATGAACTTTCATTTGGTTTATTATTATATTTATTTAAAGAGAGAGAGAGAGAATGTGCGCCTTTCTATTATGCCCTGCATATTAAAACATCATTTCGCCATAATCGTGTCATAATCTCCCCATAAAATTCAATCAAGACAATAGCTTGCCGGGTGTTTGGAAAGCAAGGGAGCCAGATGAGAAATGGCTTCAGATGAAAACAATGGAATGCAGCTCAACTCAGAAAGGGCGGTTTTCCAAAGAGACAATTAGATGACAAGGCAGGGGATGCCCTGCGGAGAGAGAGCTCCCAAATCTGGATCCAAGTAGCTTGGATTTTGAAAGGAAAACCCCTCAGCCCAAAGCACAAAAGTACCTAAACTGGAGCTCTGTGTGTTACACTTGCAGGACTGGGACGCCTGGGATTTGCTGCTGGGTGCAGAATTCAGCATACCGACAGCCATAGTTTTTTCTTTTTGAAAGGAAGCTTTCAGCTCTTGTGGTTGGTAAGATAAACTTGACAACATTGGGGCCATGCCTGGGGGCCCAACAGGACATAAAAGAGATGGGGCGTCTGCACCAAGCATGGCAGGTTGCTCCTTTTGTAGGGGGAGGGGAATTGCAGAAATAATTCTATATATGCAGACTGTTAGACTGGCATGATGTATTCAGAAAGCCGATGTGTGGTGTGGTGAGCAGCATGTTGTGCAAGGACCTGCAAAGACCCTATAGTGTTCAGGCAGGCCTTTGAAAATTGAATTTCTTTACAAGGCAGTTCTTCTTGAGATGTTACTGATGTTATGATAATATGATGCCATTATGCTATTTCTATTTTCTGGCCAGCCCTGAGGCTCACTGCGTGCAGTTGGCCTGGCCATAATTTCACTGCCCAATCTGTAAGAAAGATGGGAATAGGAATGTAATAAATAAAAAATAAAATATTCAGCTCTCAGATTCAAGGTGTTGCTCAATGTAGCATTCAAAGTTGTTGCTCAGTGCAGCCCTACTAGGCAGCACTGGGCGGTGGTGGGATAGATGAAGGCAGGAACTTGTATATGAAAAGATGCAACAAGACATTTTAGAGTATTGGTCATAGCAGAGGTCTCACTTCAGGCAGCAAAACATTATGAGTTGGCTTTGGATTTGGGCTCGCTTGGCAGACAATTTCTGCTTCTAGTGTGGACCATGCATGGTCTTGACAAAAAAAGAAATAGTACTGCATAAACGATTATCAATATAAATTAATACATAGCTGCCTACTGAAATGGTAAGTTTCTCTTCACTTAAATCCCACCTATGAATATAACTATAGCCTTTAAGTCAAGAGGAATCTGCAGATCCAAATTAGGTTAAGAACTTAAGAATGGCCCTGCTGGATCAGACCAAAGCCCCATCTGGCCCAGTACCCTGTTCTCACAGTGCCCCTCTGGGAAGCTCACAAGCAACACCCAACTCTCTGGGAAAGGGGCACAGCGTTCTTTCTGACTGGTGCAACCAAAATGCTTCAGAGAATGAGAGAAGGAAAGGAGAGAAATAAAACCACCCTCAATGTGAGCGAGAGAAAGTCATATTGTCAGGCTCCCCTGTTTCCTTCCCAGTGGGTCATTACAAGTACTGAAACTTGAAAAAGTGGTGCCTGGCCTTTCTTTTTTCCTCCTCCCTCCTCATCAGTTTTTCCTTGCAAGTAATGCATTTCAGATTGGTTGTCTTACTACTAATCTTTGTAAACAGCTCTGGGAGCCTTTTTGGCTAATAAGTTGGGTCAAAAGAGGTTATGAATAATTTTGAGTTTGTGCCAGAATTGGTGATTCCAATAAGAACCACAGCGAGTTCAAAGATGGAATTATTTCACTCCCAACGACAGCATCTCTATATGCAGAGTTTACGCAAATTATGTGCACATTAAAACCTATAAGTCAGCTATACTTCTCCAGCTCATGATTCACTCCCACACTGCCTGCCCCTGCAGTTAGTGCAATGTGAACCAGCAACACTCAAGCCACCAAAATCAACTGCAAAAAGAATTCATTAGGGCTGAAAAGCAGGAAGATCTTATTCACTCCAAGGATAGGACCATCGGCTCTTTTTCCTTTCCTCCCCAGCAGAGAACACTTAGTGGGCAGCGCAGTCACGTGGTTCTGCCAGGACAGTAATGGAGTGAGCGCAAGTGCTCCGCTATTTAGAAGGATGGGTAATTGCAGCCCTGTCAGTTCTAAGAGCACCTTGCTGTAAAAGCCACTTTGGTGCAGGTGGAGCCAACAACGCCCGTTTCCTCTCTCCTTAACGCTCCATTTTGTAAACAGGATTTGTTTCAGGGAAAGCAGATGGTACACTCCGGCTCCTCGTGAGAAAACCCGCCCAACCTTTCCAACTGATCCGCCAAGGCTCTTTTGCTCCATTGCCAATGCAACCTCATGTGCCTCTCTGCAGCTACTCCTGGTGGCTGCTAGAATCCCAGGCTCACCTGCCAATTCATAGGGAGGAGGCAGGCATGGAAATATGCTTACCAAACAGCTGCCACAGACTCTCAGTTCACACCCTGCCTTTCAGTGGCCTCAGGTGAGGGCAAAAGGCAGGCGGCAGGATGTCTTAAACCCTTTAATGGAGCATGGATTTAATCTTAGGGATAAGTGAAACCTATCTTGAATAGCTTCTGGCTACACAAACATGCCAAGTTCCTTAGGAACATGGAAAGCTGCCTTTTCCCAGCCCAGAATATTTCTCCACCTAGTCTGGTGGAGATCATCATCTGCTCTGACTGACAGTGACTCTCCAGGGTGTCAGGCAGAGTCTTTCCCATCACCTATGGCCTGATCCTGGAGAGGCAAGGACTGAACTGGGGACCTGGCGCTTGCATACTGCACCATCTGCTGCTGAGCTACAACCCTTCCCCTTCGCCACCAAGAGGGCTCCCAGCTCTGACATTAAGATGATTGCTACCAAGGAGACAGTCTTCGTGATTATACTCTTCATCAAAAACACCCTCGGGGCTGAAAGCGGGAGGGTGGGGGGAGCATTCAGAGCACCATTATAACTCCAAGCATGTTGCTTTCAGGGGCCTTCTCTGCAAAGAGCCTCCCGCCCGCATCCCCTAAAACTGCAGATCCCCTCCCTGTCTCCTCAGGGTCTTGAAACCAGCTTGCAGCATGGAAGTCTGGGGCCACTTGGCTGGAAGGAGGTCAAGACCTCTTGCACGGCTCTAATTAAGGTTGAGGGGGCTTGCAAAGAAGAACCAACTGGAGGGGAGGCGTTGTTCCACTGGTCAGATATGCCACCGCTTTCTACTTAATGGCATTCAGAATCTACCACCTGAGACAGCTCCCTCGCTTTTCACCCCACCGGAGAGCTGTCTTTGTCTGCAGCCATTAAAAATCCAGTTCTGTTGGTTTTAGTTCATTTTACCGGCTTGTCAGAGAGCTGTACAGCTGCAGTGCTGTCAGGATAATGCATTTTGATCCAACTTGCTTCTTTCACACTTTCATTCTGAGCTTCCCAGAAGCCTTGTTATTAAAAGCATAGATGCTGTCTGTCAACTTCAGGACCAGCCCAAGACATTTTGCTGCCTGAGGCAAAAGATAAGATGCCACCCTCACCCCCGCTTTCCAAGTCCAGAAGCAGACCCGGCTGGCAGCCGAATTTTAGTTCAGCACTGGCAGTGGGACACCATGGTCTACCACAGAGCAGGCTGTGCATTGTACACAAAGCCCCAGCCCTTTGCTGCGGATCCCTGCATCCCAGAACCAGCTGCCTGAGATGCCCGCCTTCCTCTGCCTCATGGTATGGCAGGCCCTGGTCAGCCTGGCTTTGTATGCTGCTGCTGAACAATTCTGTGATGCTCAAAAGCTTGCATTCTTTCCCACAGAGAAAGGACAAGCCAGTTAAAAGGGATGCTGTGCTTGACTAGTTTACCTTGCTCTCTTGTGAGGCTGGTGTTCACCTCAAGAACACCACTTGTGTTTCCGATCACATGCCTGCCTTACCTTATTGGATACTTTTCCCCAGGGTCCTTTCCCAAGTGAAACAGAAGTGGAAGCTTGGAGTGCTCCTCTTGGTCATGGGTCGTTACTCCAGAAACATTTTGGCCGGGGCAGAAATCAATGCCCTGCAAGAGAAAGAGGAACGCCATTCACTAAAGATCAACAACAAAAGCGTATGAGCTGTAGGTGGCCAGGGATCTTGAATTCTCATCAGTTTACATTAAGAAAGAAACTTTCAAGTCCTAGTGATTTAACAGAAAAACATGGAAACAAATGTATACAGGGCCCCAGATTCATAGAGTTGTCAAATGTTGCCATGTTCATTCCAATGGATTTCAAAGTGGCTCAGTGAAATCATGTTTCCCCAGTGCTGATTCATTACCAGAATCTCCTCTCCACACCCACACACGTTCTCAGGCTGGCTGTCAGGCTGTACTGAGGACAGGAGAAGCTTCCTAATTGTCATTACATTTGTATCACCCCTTTCCTCTACCTGGAAAAGCTTGAGAATAGCATACATAGGCATCCCAGGTGGTCTCCCATCCAGGCAGGGACCAGACTCAGACCTTTTGCAAGGTTGCTGCCTCACAAGCCTTTGGACCAAAAGGCCAGTAAATTGGTTTCCTAGGAGTTCAATGTCACGCAAGAAAAATGGACCCAAAGAGGCTTGCAAAATGGAATTTGTTTTTCATGCTCAACTGACTGGCACATGTGTGGTTAGGAAGGACCTGCTCACCACCATCCCCAGTCAGTAACACACAACCCTCAAGACATGCTTTCCCCACAACCATGTGCCTTGACCCACTTATTAAAGGCATTCAATAATATCTATCCCCAGGACAGCTTGCTTGCTCCTGCTTCCCAACCTCTACGGCTTCCAGGTACACAATCTCCTTACTTTAATTAGTGTACACATGGCAAACTTCTCCACCATGCAAAGGGTGAACCCATCCCTCACTCTCTCAGTGTAAAGTGCAGAATCATAATCAAAAGATAGACAACACATATTGCTGGCCCCACTCCAGATTCCACAATAATCAGGTCAGGTTGAAATAGTCAAAACTGCTGCACTCCAGCAGCTGATGACAGTTCTAGAGCAAATCCTATACTAATGCACTGTCCCAAACTATCACCCAGGGCATATCATACTGCCAACCACAGCATACCCTTTCTTTGCATTAATGCTATAATGTCTCTGGTCTATTCCATAAGGCAAACTTTTATTTGCAACACACATACCCACACCCCGCATCACAAACAGGACACTTGCTGGAATCAAGAGCATGATGCAATGAGCTCTCTTTCTGCACCACACCCCCATGCATCACATCCTTCTAAAACATTAATCATGAAGAGAGGAGTTCATTACAGTTGTGTCTGCTGGATGCTCTGATGGCAGCCTGGATGTTGCTCAGAAAGCTGCATCCTCAGGTTCCAGATGGCTGGCAACTTCCATGTAAAGATGGAAACAAATCCATCTTGGTTGTGTGCAAATGTGCATTTGTAGACTGCTTACACCAATCTGAATCTCAAAGTGATCTATCATAGAGGGGCATGATCCTGTGCAGCAGGAAGTATCCACCCATCACCCAACATCTCTGGAGGAAGAGTTAACTGCTAGAAATCCCCCTGGACTAGCGTGTGTGTGTTTTAAACCACCCACAGAATGGCTTCATTCACCTTGCCCAACATCTAACCCAGCACTACAATGGCAGCATTTCCAATTACCAGCATTCTCACACTGACTGAGTTGAACTACCCAGTCTGCAACATCTATTTTCAGCCTGAGTGCATCTTCCCACTAAAGGAGCTGTCAATGGGTCAGTAGGATACTTTTAAATAAATATGGCACAAGATCAGCAAATGAGATGCCAGCTCAATACACATGGGCCCTAGAAGTGTCTCTTTGAATACCAGTCACCAAGTATGTTCTTACTTCTCCTCTTGTAGGTAACAGACCACATTTCTGCCTAGAGGAGAGGGAGCTGCAGATGCAAAACCTCCCCTCATTCCGGAGAGCCTAGAAGCAGGAAGAGAGAACACATGGTCACCTAGAAACAGCCTCTCATACATCTATACCGCCCCACCACTAGTTGCCTGAAACTGATGTTTTAGATAACCGGGGAAGGAAGGAGAATCAGAAGGAGAAGCTTGGGATGGGGAGGAGAAAAGTTGAAGAAGCTGCCCTGGAACTGCCTTGCTTTTGCACCATCCATGTGGCAAAAGCTAAAAAAAGATCATAGGTGGGCAACTTGCAGGCCAAGAAACCAAGAATGGGTCTGCATGCAGCAAGAGGAGAAATTGGGACCAAGGTGGCAGAATGGACTGGACCCATTTAGAGGGCAGGCAGAGAATTGCATTTTTGAATGCTCCCCTAGGTACAAGACAAAATAAACCCCAGACACTAAGCAAATAGAATACTAGTGCAGCAGGAAGAGAAAAGAGGCAAAAACCTTTTCCCAACGCTCCCTTATTTTCCAGGACTTTCTGCATGCAGAGCAGGTGCTCTGCCGCTGAGCTGTGACCCTGCCCATTTGAAGACAGGAGCTTCCACCCGCAGCCTGATATGGCGCTCTCTGCTCTCAGTCTCCTGCATGTGTGGACCAGGCCCTGGTCTTCTTGGCTGGGGACTGCAAGATGACAGCATCCCCTTGAAGAACACCCCTCTATTATATACCTCCTATAAGGTTGCCAATGGTCACAGCATCTCAGTGGCATCTGGTCAATCTAGGGCTTTCCTCTGTCCGCTTCCATGAGGCTTCTAGCCTGTCCAGGTTCCTTGAAGTCACCCTCCTTGTGAAAAGGACTTACATAATACAGAGGCCAGCATGGCAAAACCCATTTAAAGGGGGGACGGGAGGGGCAGCGGCACAGCTGTACTGTTTGCACATAGAACGAACACTAAGCTGAAAGGCTCTCCACAGACGTTGGAGGGGATTTGATTGGCAAACAATTTTCTAAAAATATCCCGTGTGTCTTTAATGGACAGGCTGGTCAGTGGAGCAGTTAATATTCTGCTTTTCAATAAAGTAAGAAAGGTTAGAAGCCCATGAAATCCCATTTACCTGCACAGAGCTATAGATTCCTGAATCAGTGGCTAGAAAAATAAAGAGAGAGAGAGAGTTGCTTGATAAGCTGCAGCAGGCAGGCCATAATGGATTTTAAATGGATACGGAGGTGATTGACCTTTTCACCTCCTGGTGCTGGAGACCTCCGAGACCAAGCGGGGTTCGCATTTGCGCAAAGTGGAGCATTTCAATACTATTTTAAGAAGAAGAAGACGGTGACAACAGCTAATCAAAGCCAAGACGTAACATACAAGTTGTAATTTGGATGCAAATCAAAAAGGCTATTTAATTAAGAGCCTGCTAATTAGTACTGCGCTCCTCTAGTGCAAATGTTTTCGTTTGAGGTAAGAATTTATTCTCTGGGTATTTGCTTCCACGCTGCTCTGTTTACAGAGCACCCTTGGCTTCTCATGTTAAGACAGCCTTAGCATTAACGCACTCAGCTGATTGGGGGCTGAAATATATTTCCACGCAACCACGTGCAGGCCCACTGCCTCCAGATGTGAGCTGTGAGTGCAGCCACCCAAGGAACAGAATGGTGGTTTGCAACTGCTGCACCAGCACTCAGCTTGTCTTTGGCTTTCATTCCCAATATTAGGACAGACCCCCAGCTCGGACCAGCAGGCAGTTCTCTTGTGCCAGCTGTGTCCCCTGTGACTGCTGCCACTTCCTTTCCATAGAATCATAGAGTTGGAAGGGACCCCAAGGATCATTTAGTCCAACCGCCTCCATGGCAGGAATCAAAAGGAACAACCACAGAGGGAGCAGGGGCTCCCACAGTGTGCTTCCTCTGCAGTCTGCTCCAACCCTTCTGGCCACCCAGTGGCTTCTGAAGCTTGTGTGGCCCAAGGGTTGCTGTTCCCCATGTTTTCCATGGCATGTTCTGCATTGGTGGCAGCCATGGGGAATCTAACTTTTAGTCACTGTAAAAACAAAAGAAGCTGGAAGCGGATGTTACTCCAGATTAAGAAGGATACTCAGTTTCTTGTGTATACACACACTAAAGCACAAAAGCCATCTTGTTTTGAAAACTAAAGCCAGATGAAACAGTGAGGATTGGGCCAACCAGTCTTCTCTGAGAAGGATCTGAAGTGGCTTCTGGGAGGGATCCAGAAAGGGAACTTGCCTTCAAAAACATGGGCAGAAGTCCCCATTCTGATTTCCCTCCCTACAGTAAGGCCAAAAAACCCACAGCTGATTTTTCCTTCCAGAGATTGTTAAAAACCTACCTACATTTTTGATTTTTGATTACCTATTGCTTTTTCTACGCAGACTTTGCCATAGCACACACCCCCAGAACAGTTTGAATCTCTTAAGTATTTAAAGAAGCACCGAGTCGTCTCTGTTGCCCTCCCATCTCCACCCTAGCTTTTGTGGAAGATCAGATGTGTGTCCCTTCTGTCACCTGCCCTATTTCCCAAAATTTTCTTCCTCCTCCTCCCCCTCCTCTTTCTTCTTCTTCTTCTTCTTCTTCTTCTTCTTCTTCTTCTTCTTCTTCTTCTTCTTCTCTCTCTCTCTCTCTCTCTCTCTCACACACACACACACAGAGAGAGAGAGAGAGAGAGACGACCTTGGTCACAGTGCTCTATGGCTGCCCTGCCAGTGCATCAATTTCCCAAGCAAATGGGCCACAGATGCTCAGTCGATATAAACATGAGGCAAAACAGCAGGCGGTTGCCAGTTGGCTCCCAGCCAAGCAGTGGAACCACCAACGTGTGCGTACGTGTGTTAACAAACGGCCTTTGGCAATCCATCACCTGGGCACGATCCCAGATCATTCTGGCCTGATGAGCAACTGCGATATCCGCCTGGCTGACACAAGGAGCGTCTCTGTCCTCTTGCCGAGGCTTCCTCATTCCAATGGACACGGCACAGGAGGAATGGGGGAAAGAGCGACGTACTAGGAAATGAAGTTATGAATGAGGAAGCTGATAGAGCCAGGAATCCTCAGCACAGCCACACTCTTGGCCCTTCAAGCTCCAGCCATCCTGTGGGAAGACAGGCTATTTCCACCACCCAGAGGATTCCAGGCAAAAGTCTCTAGAATTAGGATGCAG